CAGTTGGAAAAGACAAAATAAGAAAAGATTAGCTTGCATTATTTAGACTTCTATCAAAACTAGGTTTGCCACTTTCACACACTATTCTAAAGAATAAAAACGTTAAAGTGATTGGTAGGTTAAAAAAAAGGTTTGTGTAGCCTGGTAAACTCTCCATAGTCAAAGGCTGTTTTCTGCAGTCTGCACAACTGTACACCTTTATACAATGCAGCATTTAAAGAATACTCAATTGAGGTCCACCCTTCAGATTATTTTCTCAGGGAAAAGATGTGTAGAGTAAGTGAGAGGGTAGGACGTAAGTCTTTCCAAACTGATTGTATAGAGGAAAAAACCCTCAAAACAACAATGCAGAAAAGGGATAGAGCACAGCTGAGCTCTGCACCTAGCAGGTGACTAAAAGGAACACAGTAGTCAAGGTCAGACTCTGCAGCCTGGTTCCATATTATACTAGCCTCTGGGTAAAGAACTCATCACACTCAACATCCACTGAAGAAATGCCTACCACATGCCAAGCACTGTCCAAGAAGGCCTGTTGTTCTCAAGGACTTACACTCTTCCACCTGGTGTGTCCTCAGATGCTGGACTCCAGACTGCTCCGTTTCTGTTCACGAAGCACCATGCACAATTAGTGAAAAAGCTCTAACTGCCAAAATTCTTTCTCTTCCAGAGGACAGACCTCAAATGAAGAACAAATAGCTACGTTCCCATCTCACCCCATGTCTCTTATCCTCTTTCAGCAATTTAAGCCTTTCTTTGCAAAAGGACAGATGACCAAAATCAACATTTTTGTGAGATGAACTCTCAGATGAAAGTACACTGATTTAAAACATGCTCTCTATCTTCAAGGAACTTGAATCTGGGAGTGGTTGCTGATACAGAGACAATTTTGGTACATACTGCCTTTATTAATGTACTGAGTAAAAAGAAAAGTGCCAATACTAGTGATAAAATGAACAGCTGTTAAATCCAACAAAAATGAGACAAGGATAAAAAAAATCACTGGGTATTCCAAAAGCAGTTCATCTTAATATCAATTGAGAGCTCCCTGGACGTAAACCTGTACCTATTAGTTCAATTTAGGAAACTGGGTTTGGAATTCTGGAAAAATACTGTTCAATAAGACAGCTTGTAAAAGCAAGATATAATTAGAAATTTCAACTGTTAAAGTGCTCTGGGAACAAATAAGCATCATAAAAGGTTAGGAAACTCTGCACAATTGGCACATTTCTAGGAACACAAGCTTGAAAGTTGGGAAAATATATATATATGCCCAATATGCAAAGTGTCCCCTCAGGAGTTTGACTGGGAGTTTGATGGCTTGCTATGCTGTGCACTGACCACCAGGGGCAGAAAGAAGGGAGGCCCCGGCTGGCAGCCAGCAGCCGCTAGGGACCCTATCAGTGCACATATTTCATAATTATGCTAGATTGGCTCTTGCACAGGCCAAGAACAGTGTAGGCTTAAATTTATATAAAAGAATGGAAGCTGTTTTCAAGGGGGGGGGGGTGTTCAGGGGGGACTGGACTGGGGACCTATAGTACTGAGTCCTGATCTAATTTGTCCTAACAGCTTTTTCTCAAAGACTGAATGATGCTTTCTATGGCCCTTCCGCATGGAACACTATACATTCATAACGACTAAAGATGGCTGAGAACACTAGGGTAATTGCCTCTATTTACAATATTTGGCCTCTTGAGGTTAATCTACTACTCCTGTTCTATAAAAGTAAAGACTTTCAAAAAGTCAGTTTTATTAATTATCATAAAATACACACAAGAAATGTATCATTTTAAGCATGTTAAAGCAGTTATGGCCATGAGTAATCCCTAGATACAAAGCACCCTTGGGGTGGTAAGTAACTATTCTAAATGACCATTTTTAATGAGAGTTGAGCATTCTACAGAATGTACAGGCTTGTCATACAACACGGTGTCACTTCCTACCGGGTAGGGAGGAGAGGCATCAACAGGGAAGCCTTTTCAAAAAAGCTGTTCTTGCTTGTTACAAGGGTACCTTTCCCCAAAACACAGAGGGACAGATAATGTCGAGAACCAATGCTTTGAGAGTTCAATGTAAAAATAAACCAGAGCAAGATGCTCTCAGGAGGGAGATAATGCCACAGATTACTGATTGCCTTGGGAAATCTACACTGAAGACAGGAAAGAGGGTTCTATTACTTTTAAGAGACTGATTTCCCACGGGCGCTCACTGTCAGCAACTGGTACCATAGTAACCCAACTTTAGAGACTGGCACCATGGGATCTCATGGTTGATTAAGTTACTTGCCTCATCCCCACTAATCATAACTCTTTCATTTCTGTCAATAAAATAAGCATGACTTTTCCGTTTCATGAGCGGAATCAGAAACTGTTTCCCAAAAGATACAAATGTACTGAGAATATAACACCAAGAAGAGCAAAGTAAAGCAACTTCATCTGCTGGTATTATAAATATTAAGATGTTCAGGTCTGAAAGTAACATTTTGCATTACCCTGCATCTATTCTTGCAAAAACTTTATTTCAACCTAACCTCATCAATTCAGAGGGAAACGTTTTTAAATGTCCCTGAATTTTTACATACAAGTCTTAATGTTACCTTTTCTCTTTAAAATCCTCACCCAGAGGAGATTTTGGTTGCCTCCCGCATGTGCCCCTCCCAGGCGGGGGAAACTGCAACCGAGGCACTTGCCCTTGACCGGGAATCGAACCCGCGACCCTTCAGTCCGCGGGCCAACGCTAACCTCTGAGAACCTGGCCAGGGCTTAATCAGTTACTTTTGAAATGCACCGAAAACTTCCCTTTACGACTCCTCGGATCCGATAACCCCATTTACTGCGCAGACGGGGAAAACGTTATCTAATCTTCAAAAACTTTAAAGTACCACTCTGTTGTCAAATGATCACAGGAAGATAATTTTGCCTAATTTAACACCTTTACAGTAATTTACACGGAAAACCCGAACAACCATCCCTGATTTTACTAAGCCCGGGCAAGCTAGAAGGCTCCGAAGCATATGGACAACACACTACACAAAATCCCCTAAAACCAATTTGTGAAAAGTATCTCCACTTATCTTACCCAACGGCCTGGTGACTTTACAATTCAATCAGGTTATTCCACTCCCGAAATCACCTGAAATACAGCCTCCATCTAACAGAGAGGTCTGCAGATAACGCGTGTACACGCTGGTTCCAGCGGGGCCCGGCGAGGGGGCGCCGACCAACGCGGACCCCGCTCGGCGCCGGCGACGCTCGGCATGGAGGCAGGGGAACCCGGCCCATCGACCCTCCGAGT